AAAAAAGGCCATTCTGCCGTTTGTTCCATCCTCTAAGTGTGTGCTCATTCTAAGATTGCAACCCCGGCATTTTGGCGCAGGCGTGTCTGATAAATTCCACGTTTCTTCACCTAAATAAAAGCTCTGATGTAGTCATTGTTCAAAGGAACGTACCGCGGTTGCGGCCAAATAACAACTTACCATAGTTGGAATGATTGCACTTAGGATTGTATGATCTACAACAACTTGCGAAAAAACATTCGCGGTCGTTGTAATTCCGACATATTTTGCTATTTTTTCACCTATTTTAAAGCTTAGCTTTCACTCATTAATATTTAGTAGCTCAAAAAGAAGAAGACGAAGACGTTATAGAAGTAGAAGACGTAAGCAAGACAAAGGTGATCAACGAATTTCTTCGCATAGCAGCGATAGTCATTCTTGCTCACATGGACCGCATCGAGCTAGACAGATACCGATAAAAGTCGCATCTCATGGCAGCATAGATAAACATGTAATTTGCATTGTGGCTTCGGTATATTGGTTAAAACAGCGTTTACAAGTTTTCAGGAGTCAGTGCCAAGATGTTACACAAGGTGTGAATATTCCTGTTCAAAGTTGGTTGCAACAAAAAGACGTACATTTCTTCATAAGAAATGTGCTAAGTTTTCCAGCTCTTCCCTTCCAATGCGCTATGTAAGGGATCCGTACACAGGAGAAATACGCAGGCTTTCGCACACTTCACTATAGTTTGAAGCTCAAAAACCGCATTTTATGATATCAAAGTGTTCTTCGTTCATCACTCTATAAAAGAGGCTGCTGGAAGCCTTATTATTTTACAGATTTAATAAAGAACGGTTTTAATACTGTCAGCTATGTTGTTACATGCTAAATTAATTTTTTAGTGTCAAAGTAACTTAGAGGTTAGAGACCGGAAAATTTTTGAATTCAGAATCTTGTGGCCGTTTGCATGTTTTTAAACATGTTCCTTCTAACTGAGTGAAATCAACAATCTCTTTAACTCATTTTGAACTAATATAACTAGCTCCTTTGCAGTCTCAAGGTGATAGTACTGCAGATTTGTTCCCCTGACAAAAGAAATTGTTTTATTAAAAACTGACAAAGCTTATATTTTACCCCAAAGTTTGTCGTAGACCTTGGGCTGAAAAAAGTGTAAAAATACATTCGAGAGAATAGCTACGGAAAAAGTACAATGGAACTTGAGAATCATTAACAACAAACCATAGTGGTGGCCTTACTCATTAAAGCACTCGACTTTTCCTTAATTGCTAAGACATCCCTCTTTATAATCAAAATGTTATCAAAATACAGGGTGCCCCAAAAATGGTTGCATTGTTAGTAAGTTTCTTATGCCCTAGCTATTTGTAAGTCTTAATGGTTCATTGTGAACCAACATCTTTCCTCCTCTTTTCAGGATTACGGTGTAAAGTTGTGTGCTGCTTTAGCACATGAGGTTTATTACCAATACTTACTTAGATACTTAGATGGCCTGTCTTCGCTTGTTGTGCAGGCCACAGCACTGTTTTTATCCGATTCCGTCTCTCGCTAGCGTCATCCACGATCTTGGTATTGTACTGTGGCGGCGACGTTCGCGAGATCCAGATTCATTTCTCGTTACCGGCTGAGAATTCAGCTGGTCCATCTGTGTACGAGCACGTCAGCCCATGTGGTCGGTGGCCTCCCTCGAGGACGTTTTGCTTTGCGAGAAATCCATCCAGAGTTCTTCGTGCCCATCAGTCCTTCTCATTATATGACCAGCCCATTGATGTTTTGCCTTAGAAACGTATTCCGCTGGATGAAGATGAGACATTGATCTCATATCTGAACTGCGAAGTCCGAAGAGACGTTGAGTACGTCGGTTGTACTTCTGCAGACGTCGTTTCAGCGCTCTGTGGGTTGTTCAAAGAGCCTTCGACATAGCCACAGTGTCAGGCCACGT